TGACCTTGTGATCCACCTGCCTCAGCCTCTCAAAATGCTGGGATTACAAGCGTGAGCCACTGTGCCCAGCGATTTTATATAACGTTTATAAGAAGTAATGAAATGGGTTCCTTAGATAACTCACTGTGAAATTAGGCAACATGAACTTAGGTACTATTACTGTTGGGCAGTGTATCTGATGCAGGGCAGGCAAGCTCCAAAACGGGCTTAGCCCAGGAGTGTTCTTGGCGTGGCCCAAGGAAGAATTCAAGGGAAAGCTCGTGGTGTTATAGCAACTTTTATTGAAGCAATAGTGTACAGCAGCAGCAGAGGTACTGTTCCTTGTGGAGCAGGGCTACCCCATAGGCATTGTGCCCAGAGGAGCAGCTCAGAGGCACTTCTGCAGTCATATTTGTGCCCACTTTTAACTATATGCAAATTAAGAAGTGAGCTATGCAGAAATTTCTGGAAAAACAGGTAACTTCCCGGTGTTACCATGGCAATGGTAAACTGATATGGCACACTGATAGGCATGTCTTACAGAGAGGTGCTTTCACCTCTTCTGTGTTTTAGCCAGTACCCAATCTGGTCCTGTGTCTGAGCCCTGCCTCTGGAGTTGAGTCCTGTCTCTTACCTCATTTCTACCCCTCACAGAATATAAAATCCAGATTGGGCCAGTAGGTTGATGATATTATAATAGCCACTGTTGGTTTCAGTATTATTAATGCCTTGGGTGGCCACACCTAGTTTCAAGGGCAGCTAGGAAACATAGTGTTTGTTCTAGGTGGCCAGATGTACAGCGAAACTTCAGATTCCTATACCACAGAAGCAGGGATGAAGGCATATTGCACGATAGCCAGCTGTTTCTACCATCTGCAACCATCTATCTTAAACCATTAGTTCTTCACCATCTAAATTTTTTTAGACCTCACAGTGTGTCATTAGCCAAATCAGTGTCCTTAGCTTTTATTCTGAATGATCCCTTTACTCTCAAAGTCTAACCTAAATCTGGTTGTTTCCTAAGGAAACTGCTTTTCTTTTTTTTTTTTTTTTTTGAGACAGAGTTTCACTCTTGTTGCCCAGGCTGGAGTGCAATGGTGAGATCTCGGCTCACCACAACCTCCACCTCCCGGGTTCAAGCAATTCTCCTGCCTCAGCCTCCCGAGTAGCTGGGATTACAGGCATGCACCAGCATACCTGGCTAATTTTGTATTTTTAGTAGAGACAGAGTTTCTGCATGTTTGTCAGACTGGTCTCGAACTCACGACCTCAGGTGAGATCAGCCTGCCTCGGTCTCCCAAAGTGCTGGGATTACAGGCATGAGCCACCATGCCTATTGCTGGAAACTGCTTTTCTTACAGATCTCTCAAGTAGAAGCTATTTTGCCTTCCAAACTCCCATACGTCAGAGTCTTATCTCTTATTACTGTATCTGGACACTTGATTCTCTTTCTCCTTCCTCTCTAAAATCTCCTAGTCCCTTTGAAACAAGTCCTACCAGATTGAACCATTCTCTGCTGTGCTTTTATGCGGTCATCTGCATAGCTCTTTGCTCTTCCCTCATTCAATGAATATTTTAGCATCTGGCTAATTGTCCTTATCTCTACTACTCTTCTTGTCATTATCTTCAGCGATTTAAAATGTCCACAAATAAATCCCTGGCCTGTCAGTTCGTTGACCTCAGCCACCCACTTTAACAGTCATAACCCATCTTATTGTTACCAATATCTATACTGGCTCTAAAATCTGTTTTAAGTATCCCATTGTCTATCTCCACTTGTTTTTGCTAGTTAACTTCTTCTGGAATCTTAATGCTAACAATTCTAAAGACTCAGTAAGATTTCCAGGCCATTGAATCTACCACTTTTTCATGGTATCTTTGGCAATTTCATCTTATTCCACGGCTTTGAATATGATGTTTTTGCTGACAACCCTCAAGTTGCTATCTAATTGATATATGCAACTCCAACTTCCCACTTGACTCCAGACTTAACTATATTATATCTCATTTCTCTTTAACTTTTCCATTGGGTTGTCTAATAGAAACCGTGTACTTAACATATCCAAGACAGAATGTTTGATATCACCCTTTCCAACCTGTTTCTCAGTCTTCCTCATTTCAATAAATGGCAACTCCATTCTACCTATTGAAACTTTATAGTCATTTTTTACTACTGTTTTTCTTTTTAATTTTTTGAGACTGAGTCTTGCTTGATGCCCAGGCTGGAGTACAGTAGTGCGATCTCGGCTCACTGCAACCTCCACCTCCCGGGTTGAAGCAATTCTCCTGCCTCAGCCTCCTGAGTAGCTGGGATTACAGACATGCGCCACCACGCCCAGCTAATTTCTGTACTTTTAGTAGAGACAGGATTTCACCATGTTGGCCAGGCTGGTCTCGAACTCCTCACCTCATGATACGCCCACTTCTGCCTCCCAGAGTGTTGGGATTACAGGCGTGAGCCACTGGGCCTGGCCACTACTGTTTTTCTTAAACTCAATTCACCAGCAAATCTTCTGGAATCTTTCCTCAAAATATATTTAGCATATGACTGCTTCATGCTGCTTACACTATTGCCGTCCTTGTCCTTCTTTATCTAAGTCACTTTCATTTCTCTTCTGGATTATTGAAATCCCATCTGGTCTTACTGCATCCAGTCTCTTTATTGTATACCATCCATCGCATCCATTTAAAATGTAAGTCAGTTCATATTGCTTATTTGCTCATAACCTCTCCACTGGCTTCTTGGTTCATTCAGAAGAAAAACTAAAGCTTTTATTATGACTTTCCAAGGCCCTGCATGTTGTGTCCCACCCTCTCCTTCCCTAATTTCCTGCCAGTCCCTCACTCATTTTATTTTAGGCATACTGGCCTTCATATTCTGACTTAACTTTAAAAGAATTACTGGCTGGTGTATTTAGAATAGTTTGTAGGGGTAAATGTAGGAATAGGAAGATCAATTTTGAGGCCACTGCAATAATCGAGGCAGGGGATGGTGGTGGCTTTGGATTATGATGGAGGTGCTGAGAAGTGACCAGATTTGCTGTGTATTTTAGTGGTTGGACTCAGATTTTGTTGCACATTTTTTCCTCTCAAGCCTCATAAATGTTGACCCATACTGAACCAAAAACAACTTATACATGATTTTTAGTAGCAAAGACATAGTTGCTGCTACTTGCTCCCTATGTAAAGTTGCAAAGTTACCTATACCCTCAAAATTGTCTTTCTATTATCTAAACCCAGCCCCTGCCCCAATACCACTGGTTAGTCAGATCCTGGTGATCAATCCCTTTAGGCAGATAAAAACACCTCAATGCAGCATTCAGGCAGTTCTGCACTTCCCCAAATTGGCTGTGTTTTAACATTACTTTTCTTTTATTCCCTTATTCAATCCCACATGAAAGTGCACATGTCATTCATACAGATGGACTCAGATAAATGGAATGTGTGAGGATGATCGTTAAGGGAGAATCTTCCCAGTGTTAGAATGCCATCGTCTTACTTTCTCTGATTCCTTGGCATGATGTTTCTGAATGGTTAGTGATTCCTTTCTTATAAAAACCATACTGCTTCTACTATTTATAGAGGATTATTATTTATTCTTGTGAGGAATTATCGTAATTATTATGGATTTCGGCAGTTTCAGGTTTTCTGATGTAGAATCCATCATGTCTTTTAAGTTTCTGATTGTAATAGTATATTCAGTTTTTATGTGTATTTTGTTATCTATTGTGTTTTCATTTCCAGAAGCAAATATTTATCCGCCTTTCTTCTTTTAAAATCCTTATAAGCTGAGTAAATTTCAATTATTGTGAAAAAGCAGCATTTCATAAAATGTTATTAGTCTTTTTTCCCCTATCTAATCAGAGGGGGCCTGATGGAAGAGGGAGTTTGGAGGACGGTGGAGAACTCCTAAAGACCAAAAAAGTGAACCTAGGAAGTGTTCCTAGGAGACATTGTATTTTAGCTCTGGCTGTGCTACACATAGTTTCATACTTTTGATATTCCACAGAAATCACCTTAAGAGAACTGGAAGAGAAAGAAGTGAAAAGAGTACTTTGAAATACAGCTTTATTTAGCACCTTGCTGATCTAAAGGTTCTTGGATTCATGAGAATGAGAAATTATCTAAGGGAGGCCTACTGAATTCTCATCTATAGTCAGTACCTCCTTTGATGTAGTTAGCAGTAATTTTCAACTTAGTAAAGAGGATTGTTTCCCTTTAATTACACTTTCATTTGATTTGTATTTGCCTATTTAGGTTAGTGATGCTACTCAGAAAGAATTCTGTAAATGTAAATCATACTCAGACAATTTAGCATTTTCTTGATTTCTAGCTTTTTTTTGTGTACGACAACTATATTCATAGCAATGATTTGTGTCTTCTGATGATATGGCTATTTGGGGAATGTTATTCTTCTTTTCCTAAGTTTTTATTTGGCAATTACACTGTGATTTTTACATAACTTTTATAAGCAGTTTATTACCTCTTCCTTAAATAAGTCACCTATTTTTCACATTGTCACTGTAGTAACCGTAACTGTTGGGCAGTGTATCTGCCCCACTGCAGAATGTCAACCCCAGATTGGGCCACTAGATTTATGATGTTGTATTTTTCCACATGGATTCTAGAATTGTAGCTGAGCCAGTCAGACCTTGGATATTTATATCCAGTAGACAAGACCAAAATTGATTTGCAATTGAAGAGTTCCCAGTTTGTGGAATTTTTTGATTTGGTCACAGGACATGGAAATTCTTTACCTGACCAGATTTACCTAGTGGTGTTCTGCGTAGGACTGTCTCAGGCAGGTTTAGGGGACTCCTGGGGTTCAGCCCAAGGCTCTCCATCATCCCTTGGTAGGATTGGCACACCAACTAGTTTTCTTTTTCTTTCCATGTACTTGATGTCAGAAGGACTGAAGGTGCTCCTTGGGGTGCAATGATGTTTTGTTTGCTTTTTGTGTGTGTACATATACATTTGTTTTTAATGCTGACTTTATATTTTCTCTCCTTTTATTTTTGCAGTAAATACAATCAAGTGGCATCTTAAATTTTTGCTGAAAGTGGAGTCATGAGACTGAAGATAACTCTTTTAAAAGAACCAAAGCATATCCTTTTAATGGTTGTAAATCTTATGGATTTTCTTAATTATAGTATTGTTAAAAGTTTCTCTATTTTATATTCTAGTTGAAGAATAGATGTTTTTTTCATTTCTTTAGTAGCTGTTTATCTAAATTGTTTTAAAATATTTAAGATCATGTGTTTTAGGTAATTCTCCAAAGTGAACCATTTGCTATAAATCTTACTTTCAAATTCTTATTGACATTTTTCTTATTTTACTTAAGTACTGTACTTAAATACTTAAAAACCAGTTTTTGTTTACTTTAGTAGGGTCTTAAAAAGAAGCTTTTTTTTGTTTTGTTTTTTTAGACGGAGTCTCACTTTGTTGCCCAAGCTCGAGTACAGTGGTGCAATCTCGGCTCACTGCAACCTCTACCTCCTGGTTTCAAGTGATTCTTCTGCCTCAGCCTCATGAGCAGCTCGGACTACAGGCACCCGCCAACATGCCTGGCTAATTGTTGTATTATTAGTAGAGATGGTGTTTCACCATGTTGGCCAGGCTGGTCTCGAACTCTCGACCTCAGGTGATCCACCCTCCCCGGCCTCCCAAAGTGCTGGGAATACAGGCATGAGCCACCATGCCTGGCCAAAATGAAGCTTTTGTAAAACCAAATAGTTTCTTTGCTAGTGTGATCTAGCATGTATTCATTCTGCCATGCTCTATTTCTTTACATTCATGATAAGGTAAAGGACAAGTTGGGGAAATCTGAGCAGTCAGATCCTCATTATTTCACATGAGAAGGTGGCAATTAGTAATATTTTCTCAAACACATGACCCTATATTTTGTCAGCAAGAGTCCCCAGTTATGTGTCAAAGAATTATGACAGGCCCCAGTATCATCATTCTTAGACATTGAGACTAATTCTACTCAAAGCATCCTTTGTAGACTTCATTGCAGGTCTGTGAAAGAATAGATAAAGAAATTGAAAGTAAGGGCTGAGAAATTTTTGTAGCAATTTGACATTGTTATAATGTCCAAATTTTCTAATATTTCATTTTTATTATATCTTACAAAATATCTATCTGCAATGGATTCAAAATAAAGAAAAATCTGGTCCTCCATCAGAACTAGGAAAACACTGATTTAAACATTTGGTCAGACATTTTAAATTGATAGGTGTTTTCATTTATATTATCTTGTCTGCTTATTTAACTATTAAGTGAAGACGTAATTCTTTTTATTCCTACTTAAGTCATTTTTACTGTCTCTTCAAAAAAGTGTGCTTTCAAGAGCTCATGCCATACACAGTTGTATAGATTTTGACCATGTCTACTGTCTGCTTTCAGACCAAGAAATAACAATGTTTTTAGACTTTCTTGATCTGGCAGTCTTCTCATTTCTCCCATAGTTTTAGTTGACCTATTAGTTTGAAGATAATGCCATGGACATCTAGCATGTACTTACAGCAATTTATATAAGGATAAGCTAATGATTTTTGGTTTGCGATGTGTGCATATTTGTTTGTATGAGTTTTCTTCCTTTCTAGGTTTTACCTAAGCTACTCCCATTTTAGTTTTACCTAACATTCTTTAGGCGACAGCAGTGATAATACAACAGTTTTTTCAGGAATGATCTAGTGTCCTTTTGTTTAACTTGTGTTTTGAGTTTTGAGTATTCTGGTGTCTCTTTATTACCTTTTTGTGCAGACTCTTAAGATCTTTCTATAATCTCTCTTTATTTTTTTGGTTTCTGCTTAATCTATCATATTTTGAAGTATTAAAAAATCTTGGAACATACTAGAATAATTAGGCACATTGTCTCTGTTTCCTTTATCATATTAGTGCTCAGATAAGACAGTAAAAGTATTGGTGAGAAATGAAGGAAATAAAAGGATTATATCATAACAGTAAGAACAAACAACTCAACCAGGAATAATCTGGCAGTATAGAAATCCAGATGTAGCAAGAGAAAACATCCTTTGTAAATAACAAACTGAAATGCCCTGTGGGTACACAATTCTGTTAGGGTAAGTACCCTGTCCTGATGGAGGAAGTGAGGGCTACTTGAGCATCTCAACTTACATAGAAATTCTTCCGATAAGTTAGAGCTTAAAAAATGGGTTAAATAAAGTAAAAATTTTAGGGATCATATCTCATCCAGCACTATGCATCTTTTAAGTGAGGTAAATTATAATTGAATTATTTCCTAATTTTAATGTAGGAAAGTTTGCTATTGTCAATTAAAAATAAATGAAGAAATAAAATGAAAAATTTAAAAAAAAGTTTGGTGAGATTTTAGTTTCAGCTGTTAAACCATAGGTTCTTTCCTAGGTGAATTGTTATGATAATATGTGATTTAAAAGGATAGCCTACTGTTAGATTTCAGTCTTCTTTTGACACTTGATTATTTTTTCCTTAGCAAAGGAATACATGCTTATTTTAATAACTTAAATGATACAGATATATATAAAGAAAAAAGTATAGTTCCCTTTGCTCCCTACCTATCCCCCAACAGTTCAGTGTAGATTCTTTGATACCTTTTGATCTACTAGGTTTCTTTTGTGTACTTTTTGGCTTTGTTTATGGAATAATGTGTAACACAAGTTTTAAATTTTCATGTGGTCAGATCTTTTCTCCCCCTCCTTTTGGCATCTGGATTTCTTTCTTGCTTTCCATTCTTACAACTGTTTTAATAGATGCTTATTTTCTTTTATATAGAAAAAAAACTAGTCATAAAATGGAAAATACATTTAGAAGCTTGAAAACGTATGACCCTATTTTACTTACACCTTAAAATCTGCATCTGTGAATTACACTTTACTTACACCTTATAATCTGCATCTGTGAATTAAGATTTAAGACTTTTGTTATGTTTTATGTCTCCTTAACATGGTGACACATCAAGAATTAGTAAGCTGTGTGGGCTGGACTACTGCTGAAGAGCTGTATTCATGTAGCGATGATCACCAGATAGTGAAGTGGAACTTGTTAACCAGTGAAACAACTCAAATAGTAAAGCTTCCTGATGATATTTACCCTATCGATTTTCACTGGTTTCCAAAAAGTTTGGGTGTAAAGAAACAAACTCAGGCAGAAAGCTTTGTCCTCACAAGTTCTGATGGTAAGTTTTAAATAAACATCATATACTCACTATTGTATTTAAAAGACTTAATAGTATGATTTATGCTTTGAGTTGTTTTACAAAACTGGTATTTGTGGATCTGCATATTTTTATCCACACATTGTATTTCTTTTCTGAATAGTCACTTGGTTTGTGTATGGGCTATGAAATTATTGTCATGGAAGAAAGTTAATTTAACTGGCATATACCAGGATTGAATATGGGCCTTTGGCATTATTATATATATATATTTTTAGAGACCAGCGTCTCACTCTGTTGCCCAGGCCAGAGTGCAGTGGTGTAATCATAGCTCACTGTAGCTTCAAACTCCTGGGCTAACACAATCTTCCTGCCTCAGTCTCGTGAGTAGCTGGGACTACAGGCACACACTATTACATCCGGTTAATTAAAACTTTTTTTTTGTAGAGACAGGGTCTCATCTTGTTGCCCAGGCTAGTCTTGTATTCCTGGCCTCAAGCATTCCTCCTGCCTTGGCCTCCCAAAGTGCTGGGATTACAGGTATGAGCCACCATGCCCAGCTGGCTTTACTTTTTTAGTACTCTTATGAGTTGAGTTAAGCTGTTCTCATAGTTTTAGTTTCTAAATTCTTCAAATTTAACTTAATATAACCACGCTGAAAAGATATACATATTCATTTAGTAAGGTATCTGTTAAAATATATACTTTATTTTTCAGTACATGTTAATTTTCAGTTACAGAGTTGAAGAGTTTTATAATTTGACCGCAGCTTTCTTATTGGTGAATAGAAAGTATGATTTTTTTTTCACTTTTTAAGGGTATGTTTTTATATTTGTTTTCTTAGAAGTACATGAACTGTTTTCATCTGTGTTATACTTTACCTGCTGTTTCAATTAGGAGTACATTCATTGAAAGTAACAGAAACTTACTTGGCTAACTTAAGCACAAATGGAGTATTTTGGTTCACCTAGCTGTAGGGGTGGATCAAGCACTAGTTGCATCAGGTCCCTGTTCTCACCATCTCTTGGGTAGGCTCTTTGCACATGGTGAACATGGTGGTGAGTATGACGGTGGCCAGTAGCCCAAGGCTCATCATACTTCATAAGACTGCTTCTTCCTCAGTATCTTGTGCAGGCAGCTTGCAGAGGGACCCTAAATGAGCTTGGGTCATATGCCCATCACTGAGTCAATCAGTTTAGTCAAGAGAAATGGACTTTGGGAGGCTGAGGTGGGTGCATCATTTGAGGTCAGGAGTTCGAGACCAGCCTGAGCAACATGATAAAACCCTGTCTGTACTGAAATACAAAAACGTTTTAGGCAGGCATAGTGGCACATGCCTATAGTCCCAGCTACTCTGGAGGCTGAGGTAGGAGAATTGCTTGAACCTGGAAGGCAGAGGTTGCAGTGAGCCGAGATTTTGCCATTGCACTCCATCCTGGGTGACAGAGCGAGACTCTGTCTCAAAAAAAAAAAAAAAAAAGACAATGGGACACTGATTGAGCATATCCAGCCTCAGGCCATCCACATGCAAAGGGAAAGAGAAAGAGAAGAGAAGAGGGCTTTTGTAACCTGAAGATGGAAAGGATGTTAGGCCAAACAATAATATCAGATTACACCTCATTTACTGAGAGACTTGTGGTAGTTTTTTAAAACTTTGTTTTTCAGAAACTTGATTAAATGAGATACATGTATAAAATCACTTTGTAGAGTGCCTGGCGCTTAGAAGATTGACCCTGAACCACAGCTAGAATTTAATTTACCTCAGATGATAAAGGGAACATTTGACTTAAACAATTTTGATTTAATTTTGCATTTACAGAAAAGTTTTAAGAATCGTACAAACAATTCCTGCAGGTCCTTTATCCAGATTAACTAGTTTAACATTTTGTCCCTTATACATTGGGACAAAGTATTGGCTCTGTTTCTTTTTATACAAACCTCCCTCCCCCTCAACATACACCCTTTTCCTGAAAGATGTGAGAGCAATTTGTAGACATGTACTTTTAACCATAAATACTTCAATGCATTTCCTAAGAATAAGAAGTTTCTGTTACATTGCCACAATTTGTTGATAAAAATCAGGACATTTAACATTGATGCAATACTATTATCTAATCTATAGTTTATATTTAAATTTTAACAATCATTCTAATTTTCCATAGAAATTTATTTTTGCTGGTACGGGATAACATATTGCTTTTGTTGTGTCTCTTTAGCTTCCTTTAATCTGGAACAACTTTTCAGTCTTTTATGATCTTGACAGTGTTGAAGAATATATGCCTGTTATTTTATAGTTCTTCAATTTGTTTTTGTCTGATGTTCCCTCATGATTAGATTCAATTTATATGTCCTTAGCAGGAATACTTGGGGCATCAGATTAGGAGATTAATGATGTTGGTTTGACCCATTATTGGTGATGTTAACCTTAATTATAAGTTAAAAAGTTCATGTTCATTAAGTTAATTCTGTAAAGTTACTATTTATTCCTCTTAATAATTTGTGAAAAGATACTTTGAGACTATGTAAAAATATTCTTTTCCTCATCAAACTTCCTCCCACTCTCTTAACGTCTATTGATGACTCTTGGCTGAATCATTTATTACTAAGATGGTTTGCCAAATGGTAATTTTTCCAACTCCATAATTCCTTCCATATTGATTAGTTGGTATTCTACTCCAAGGAAGAGGTTCCTGTCCCATGCCCATATATTTATTTGTTTTTTTTGGGGGGGGGTCAGATTACACTTGTGGATTCTCATTTTATTTCATAAATATATTATTATCATTTTTAGATTTTGATGTTAAAAGTGCCCCAGATTTGGCCAGTGAGAGCCCCATCAGGCCAGCCACAGTGATTTTTTTTTTTTTTAATTTTATATGTGTCCTCATCATTTTTTGAGCACTTCCTTGCTGGCACAAGATGTTCCAGGCTTATCTTGTACTTTCTTAGTCCCAGCCCCCAAATCAGCCATTTTCCACAGAGACCTGTTCTTTTTCTGGTGGTTAATGGTATTTAAAAAAACAAGATAACAGTGCTAGCTGTGCTCATTCCAATGGGGTGTATTTGCTTCAAGGCCCTTTCAATGGACAGAGCTAAGAACTGTGAATATAAAACCTTGAAACAAGTAACATAATAGACATATGTATACAGTGCTATGATAAATCAGAGGGACATAAAACTCTGCTGTGATGTGGCCAAGGGAAGGTCAAGAGAAATGTCAAGAAAGTCTTGTATTTAAGCACAGTTTTGCAGTCTTGACTTTTTTTTTTAAATAGACTATAAAAAAGCTGGAAAAGGTATAAAGGAGAGGAACCAAAATAGTAAAATGGATAAAATACTTGCCTTATATAATTTTATACTGTATCAGGCAACAGGTAGACAAAAGGAAGCCACTTAGTTGCAGAAGTTTGTACATATATTGGCAAAAAGTAAAAACACTGTAACTTTAAAGGACATAAGCTAATTATATGAGATGTCAGAGAGACAAGTCAACAGTGCAAAGAATAAGTGATACAAGAAGCCAGGAAAGGATCATTTGGTTTCTGAATGATCATTAAGTCTAGTAATATACAGCTGGTAATTTAAAACACTTTCTCATCCATAGGTGTGGCATATTTATTGGCACATTGTTTCTGAAGCATAGACATATACCCAGACCATAGGTCTTTAAATTATGTTAACTAAATCAAAAGGTTTATGAATTTGAATTTTTCCCTATTTTGAACATATATAATTATTTTGAACCAAGTAAGCATATGCATTTTCAATTTATTTTAAAATATTTAAATAGTTTTGTTTTTGTGCCTATTTTCCAACAGATTTATGTGTGAGATTAAGAATAATTATATTGTTAATATTTGCCTTTATGCCTCTAGTGCCTGTTACTTAGTCTAGTAGTAGGTGCTTTGTTGATTGAATAAATAAAATAGATTTTTCAAATGTAATTTCTTTTAGGTAAATTTCATCTGATTTCCAAATTAGGAAGAGTAGAAAAAAGTATAGAAGCTCACTGTGGAGCAGTACTTGCAGGAAGATGGAATTATGAAGGAACAGCATTAGTTACAGGTAAGTTGTCTGTTAAAATGACTTTTGAAATGAATATTTTAAAGAAAAATTTCCAAAGAAACAGAATATTTTCATTTAGCAATAATGTCTAATAGCATTGTCTGATAGCAAATAATTGGCATAGTGTTGTTCTACACTGCTATATAAATGTTATAATTCAGAATGTTATATTAATCATTTTCTTATGTGACCTTTGGAGACTGTTCTGTCAAAGAAGGCTTTTGGAATGGTCAAATATGGGATAAATAAAAGTTGTAATTCTTTAAAATTTGAAAATTCCAAATATTCTCATTTAACTGACCGTTATCCCCATTCTGTCTCTTTCCCGTCCCCTGCCCTACTCTAAGGATTCTTAACTTCACCTATTACATTAGTTATATATTGCTTATAACAAATTAATCGTTAGTGACTTAAAATAATAAGCATATAGTACCTGATAGTTTCCGTGGGTCAGGGAACAGTTTAGGTGGGTGGTTCTGTCTCACTCAGAGCCTCTCATGAGGTTCTGGTCAAATTGTTGGATGGGGCGGCAGTCATATGAAGGCTTGTCTGGGGCTGGAGGATCCACTTCCAAGATGTCTTACTCACATGGTTGTTGGCAGGAGGCCTTAGTTCTTCTCTGGCTTTGGAAGGAGACCTTAATTAATTCCTTGCCACACAGGCATTTCCATAGGGCTGCTTAAGTGTTTTTACAACATGACAGCTGGTGTCTCCCAGTGATCCAAAAGAGAGCCAGGTAGAAGCTACTATATCTTTTGTAGTGCATCCTCAGACATTATACTCTGTTTCAGTTATATTCTGTTAACTTAGCAAGTCACTAAGTACAGCCCACACTGAAAGAGAGGGAAATTAAACTGTGCCACTTGAAGGGAAGAATAACAAAGAACTTGAGGATGTATTTTAAAACCACCACGCCTATACTCTGGGCCTTCTCTAGGACTTTCCTCAGTGAACTGGCACTTCTCTTACTTGTATCTTTAACATCTTTTCCAATGGTTTCTTTATCAGCATGTAAATATGTTCAGATGTCACCCATCTTAAAAATTAAGAAGAAATAGAAATCCCTCTCTTAACAAACAACTCTCTCTACCTGCAGCTATTTTCTTTCTCCCTTTTTCAGCCAAGCTGTTCAAAAGAGTAGTCTATTACCTCACTTCATTCAGTCCCCAGTTCATTGGAATTTGGCTGCAGCTCTGCTTATTACACTGGAAACACTTTTCTTGGAATTCTAAGATGGAGATTGCAGTGACAAAGGAAACATTATTTGCGTAATATACTTATAAGTCTTCTAAGATTGAAGGAAATAAAAATTTTAGTCATGAAAGTTAAGCTACTTTGATAAAATCATTTCAAAGTAATTTCTATTAAATGATACAGTTATAAAGTACTCTGCCATTTAATTAAACCGTATCTGAATTTTAAATATGCAGTAATACTCCATGATTTGAGGAAGCCTAGAAAAAAAAAGAATATGCAGTAGTATAGATACTGTTAATTTTTATATGCAAATGTAATGTTTAAATTTATTTCCTATAGGTAAAAATACTGATTAAATTTTTTTTTCCCTGTATAGTTGGAGAAGATGGGCAAATAAAAATTTGGTCAAAGACTGGGATGCTTAGATCTACTTTAGCTCAGCAAGGTATGTTTTACAATTGACAATTTCATTTTTGCAAATTATACAATACAAAAATGCCTTAAAGTTTTGTTTTAGAAAAAATCTAATATGGTGGTTGAGACTGACTTTGGTTGAGTTCAAAATCTGTAATCTTTTATTTTTTACACTTTTTTGTCTTGCTTTGCTTGGTACCTGATGTACCATGGTAACGCTATTATTTCAAGCCAAGAACTATAAGAAATACTCAAGGGCTTCTTCTTTATGTTAGTGAATCTCTATAAAGGCAGTTATAAGCTAAATATTTTCAAAAAATAATTGTGAAACGTTTGAAGCATTTCTTATATAGAATGGAATTGGCTGTCTAGTTTAGTAAATCATAGTACGAAAAGACATTGAGTATCTCCTTACTTAAAAACCCCCAATAACTCTTCATAATATTAACACCTCTTCCAAATTAAGTTGTATGTTTGATTTCTATACTAATGGAGGGGAACAGACACACTAAGAATCTGAAATTTGGTAAACCACACTATTTAGAGTAGCATCTTAATTTTTTATGTTAATAGAAAGGAGTGGCCATAAAATCAATCCAGTGGTTCTTCCTGTTAGAAGTTAGATTACATATGATTTTTTTCTGTGTAACAGATTAATTTTCTTAGTTAGATTTTACATAGGAACAGTAAGCAGTTTTAATGTTTACCTGAGCGTGTATCAGCTGATCTTCAGGTTGCCAAAAAACTTGAGGACTATTCCTCAGAACTATTTGATAAAGTCATATTGTGAAACATTTTCAATAACTGACTTCCAAAAATTTCCAAATTTTATTTTAAAAATCACGTTTACTTTTAGGATAAGCTTCAAATCACTTGCATTTCTTTAGCTATATATTAACTGAATGTTAGCAAAGGTAACCAGAAATACTAGGTAGTATTTCTTTTCTGAGCTTAAATGTTTGCTACAGATAATCTCAAGGTAGAATATTTATTTATGAGTAGAAAATTCAGAGTTCATAGAAGTAGCCATGGGTAAATTTCAGTTAACAGCAAAAGTCAACTTATTGTTACTTTAGTAATACATGTACCTTTAGAACATAAATCTTACTTTAATCTTCTAGTAGGCAGATGGATTTACCTTTGGCTTCATAGATTTTTCTTTTAAGGCTAATTATTTGACATTCTCAATTTGTGATGAATGACTTACGAGTAATTGACAGAATTCTTCCAGAGATCACTGGCTCTTGGAAGAACTACAGGAATTTCAGCTACTGCTACTGCTGAGACAGTTTGCAGCAGCTGAAATGCTATATCCATTTTTCTTTTCTTTTCTCTTTCTCCTGTCAATTTGTTGCCTATAGATGACACAGATCTTCAGAGAAATTCTAAAAGCCAATGCCACTATCCACCATAGAAGATTTTTCCTTCCTCCCTCCCTCCCTCCCTCCCTCCCTCCCTTCCTCCCTTCCTTCCCTCCTTTCTTCCTTCCTTTCTTTTTTGACAGGGTCTTTGTCTGTAACCCAACTGGAGTACAGTGGCACAATCTTGGCTCCCTGTAACCTACTCCTCCCGGGCTCAATCGATCTTGCCACCTTGGCTTCCCAAGTGGCTGGGAGTACATGTGTGTGCCACCACACCTGGCTAATTTGTTGTATATATAGATATTTTTTCTGGTAGAGACGAGATTTTGCCATGTTCCCGGGCTGGTCTTGAACTCCTGGGCTCAAGTGATCCTCCTGCTTCAGCCTCCCAAAGTGTTGGGATTACAGGTGTGAGCCACTGTGCGAGTCTGAAGATTTGAATTCTTTCCCGAGACCCTTCACCAGTACCCTCCCAGTGCTGCTTCCACTTCCTTCAATTTTTCTGTTACCTCCTTCCCATTTACTACCTGTGGATTCACCATTTCAGATGTTCTAAAGTCTAAAATGGAAACTTGGAATAAGTTGTTTAATACAAACATTGTTAATTGTTTAGTCTAGGTCAGGGGTCCCCAACCCTTGGGCCACAGACCAGTAGCTGTCTGTTGTGTGTTAGCTGGGCATTACAGCAGGAGATGAGCGGTAGGTGGGCGAGCAAGTAAAGCTTTATCTATATTTATAGCTGCTCCCCATCACTTCCATTACTGCCTGAGCTCCACCTCCTGTCACATCAGTGGTGACATTAGATTCTCATAGAAGTGCAAATCCTATTGTGAACTGTGCATACGAGGGATCTGGGTTATTCACTCCTTATGAGAATCTGATGCCTGATGATCTGTCACTGTCTCCCATCACCCCGAGATGGGACCATCTAGTTGCAGGAAAACAAGTTCAGGGCTCCCACTGATTCTACATTATGGTGAGTTGTATAATTATTTAATTATATATTACAATGTAAAAATAGAAATAAAGTGCACAATAAATATGATGCCCTTGAATCATCCTGAACCATCCCCCACCTGGTCCATGGAAAAATTGTCTTCCACAAAACCAGTTCCTGGTGCCAAAAAGGCTGGGGATCACTGTTTTAGGTGATAATAGTGCTAGTAGTTTAGTGCTATAGTTTTCCTGTATAATGAGTCTGGAACCAAATTGCTACTTATTTTATTCTCATGGGGAAAATGCATTCAGAGTCTTCAGACTTGAAAAGGCCTGTTGGAAGCACATGTTCACAAATGAAGAAAATTGGAGATCACAATTAGATGGCCTCTGAGCTTAATCTGGCCCACCAGCATGGTAGAGGCCCAGTATTAAAAATCAGGACATTTTGGCCAGGCATCGTGGCTCACTCCTGTAATCCCAGCACTTTGGGAGGCCGAGGTGGGTGGATCACTTGAGCTCAGGAATTTGAGACCAGCCTTGGCAGCATGGTGAAACCTCAACTCAACAAAAAATACAAAATTTGCTTCTGCTTTTCATATTATAGTGACAAAGCCATTGCCTAATTCCATGCCATAAAAATTTCACTTATATTTCAGTGCTTACATTCAGGTCTGTGATCCATTTTGAGTTAGTTTTTGTGTGAGGTGTTTATTTTAGAGAGGGATGGTGATGCTCTTCCCCTCACTGCCTTCATAGATGGGTAAACAAGATTTTCTTAAAAACTAAAATACAGAATATACCATAAAGTACGGGTGATTTTCTGATGTATTCGTTATATCATGTAATGATATTACCCATCAACATTTAAAATGTGTTTTCCTTAACATCAAATGACTTTGAAATGACTATCATTGTTGTCCTATTTTAATTTTATTGTTCTCATTCAAAGTTTGTTAATTACGGATTAATAAGCAGAATTAAATTAGCTATATATCCCCATTTTGGCTAACCTCTTGGTATTTCAACAGAGTAATCTGATATCTTTTTCTGGACTAAGAATTACAAACTTACTTTAGAACTATGCATCTAATTTTTGAGTTTTTAATCATTGGTGCCACCAACACTTTCCTAATAAGGCATAGACTTTTCCTTTTTCGTCTCCAGAAAAATCAGTAGAGCAGTTAAGTTGTTATAATGACACTAACCCAAAAGGAAAGGTCCCTAATTACTTATAAAGTTTCTTTGATCTATTAGGCACTGCAAGTTTTGAGGGTGATTGTAAATCTGAACTACTGAGAGCTGGATGCTAAAGGCTCAAGTAAGAAGGCCAAGGCAGCTGGGGGTGCAAGACTGTTGCCTCCTTTGAAGGGAGAAACTAAATTTTGACGCAAAAATGAAATAACATAAACCTGAATTATCATAAAATTTGGAATTCTGTAAACAGTGTTGAAAGCATCCGTGTGGCTTTGCCTATGTATGTTAATTATACTTATTTCTTGATGAATAGAGATTAATTCCTGAATTCATTTCTTGACTATTGGAGCCAGATGTTTGGATAGAAAAAGCCATAGCCATTAACTTCTCTTCTAATCCAAAAGATACTTTAATCTCAGTTTTGGTTGGGGGTATTTGACTTAGTTTAAAAATGATTCTTAATGGTATTATGGGGAATTTATTGTTCCTTATTAGAGAAAAATAATATGTACACCAGAGATAATTATACTTAGGCCATATGTTTTGTGTCATTGTTCTAGTTTTAATCTCTAATTAAAGTATATAAAGTAATGCTGCAAACCTTTAAGGACATTTTTCCCACACTGTTTTCAAGTGGAGGAATAGAACAACAAAACATGGAACTTGTCTATAATGAATTTAGTAAAGGAGGTAAACTGTAAATGTAAATAATTGTGGCTGGGCACAGTGGCTTATGCCTGTAATCTCAACACTTGAGAGGCTGAGGTGGGCAGATCACTTGAGCCCAGGAGCTGGAGATCAGCCTGGGCAACATGGGAAAACTCCATCTCTACAAAAAATACAAAAGTTAGCTAGGCATAGTGGTGCATCCCTATAGTCCCAGCTACTCAGAAGACTGAGGTGGGAGGATCACCTGAGCCCACAGGCGTTGAGGTTACAGTGAGCTGTGATCATGTCGCTGCACTCCAGCCTGGGCGCCAGAGTAAGACCCTTTCTCAAAAAAATCAATCAATAAAAATAAATAAATAAATAATTGTAATACAAGGGAATGTGCTTAAGGTGCTGTTGGTGGCAGGTAGGAGTGGACCAGAGGGTTAAGATTAATGCTCTGGGGAGAGTGAAGGTATTGGGAAGTCTTCCTGGCAAATATTGCAGCATCTTTTGAACTGGGCTTTGAAGAGTGAAGAAATAGGAAAGGAAATGGTCTTGTTGGCATTGGAGTGAAGCTGTTAAGAAGCTTGGCGTCATAAGAGGCTTAGAGACAGAAGACTGTGAGACATAGAAATCAGGTGAGTGGGAGCTAACTTCTTGGGCCAGAGTGTAGGCCATGTGAAGGATAGTACTGCCAAGGGGACCAAAACACTGACAGTCCTGGATGCTAAAGGAAGGGGTTTGGCATTTATTCTATAAGCATACAAAACCTTTAAAAAATTGACCAGGAAAGTAAAAGATAATGCCAATCTTTTAGAAAGATTCCCTTTGCAGTAATAATAAAACTAGAGGAGGTTGAGATTAAATAGAGGTGGCCAGTAAGGTTTGAAATTGTCTATTCTAGTGCTAATGAAAACTTGAACGAAGGCAGCGGTTAAGGCTTGAATAGAGGCAGTGACAATAGTAGTTGGAAAAGTGAATAGTTCTCAGGGACTGAGAGGGATGTACCCTGTAAGGGCAAAGACTTCAAAGAGGGATAAATTAGGAAATATATGTGAAGGGATGATGGTTTTGGATATGTAGAATTTGAAGCTCTGTGATGGAGATCTCTTTGGATCAAGTAGAAATGTGTTGGAGCTCAGAGGTAAAGGCTAAAATATTAATTTGGGAGTCAGTTACATTAAGTGAAAGGTGAAACTATGGGGAAAGTTGAGACCCCCCAAGGGAGAAGTGGTTGAAGATAGAAACTAAAAAAAAAAAAAAAGCCTTTATTTAAACTTTTTCTTGTATTGATCCAGTGACATACGTAAGCATGGAGCCTGGAATTTTTTGAATACATCCCACTTGACTAAGTATTGTTAGCTCATGTCTCCTACAAATGAAATGATTTGAATGCCAATGATTTGGCCAAAACAGGAAAAAAAAAAAAAAAATCAAATGGCTACTACTATGAACAATACAGTAAGCAAATGCTTGCTTATTACATTACAAAATAATTTGTAGTAGTAGTAGTAGTTAACAGATAGTGCTATATAGTGCCAGACTCTATTTCAAGTACTTTACTTCTATTCACTCAATGTAGACCAATACTGCATTCAAGGCAAAGATAGCTAATGCTTTATTATAGTAGTGAACAGTTTGTTTCAAAGGCATTCTTAAAAACATACAAAAACAACGTTTTTAGGGGATACTTTTATAGTGTGAATGTGAAAAACATGGTATATTTGACCATGTACTTCCTTAAAACAATTGAAATATATTTTTGTCTCCTCTTCTGTGGTTTAAAATGCCTTCAACAGGTTGAAAGAATTTAGATAATTTGTTTTATGGAGAGATAAGGGTCTGACATTTAACACAACCCCAGGTGCATGTGGTTTCTTAAAAAATGTCAAAAAGGTCACATGATTTTAGTGTACAAAGTTAGAAAAACAAGATCTTTTTGAGTGTCTTAGCAGAAATGGAGCATAAATTTAAATTTCTGATATAAAAAGTAAAAAACTATTATAAAGCTATTTGTTTTTTGTCCATTTTTGTTAATGATGAAATAAATACCATTTTGTTATATAATTTGCTACACTCTTTGTTTTAAAGTAATTCAATCCAAAGGCTAAATTTGTTATTTCCCTGCTGACTTTGCAAAGTGAAACATAGCAGTGGGAATAATTCATACTTTAATAAGTATATTTTAAAAATTTGAAATATTATAGATTTTTTAAATGCTAGTGGTTGGATTTCATAATAATAGAAATTATTCTGTGAAGCTGATTCTTCCACTTTTAATAATGATCTTTATTAGAACCACCCAAATTGAAAGTTGTATAGCTATGTAGTTTATTTCCTTCTAGAAAAGAAAATGTTCACATATACAGTAATTTTATTTTAAATGTAAGGAATGGTTGTAATAAAGATCAAGGCTTTTGATGTTATATCCATTTTGAATTTTTAGTGGTTAAGGAGAGTAACTAATGAGTCCTATCTATTGACCTTGCTTATTTATCATAAATAAATTATTTGTTTCCATATTTGTTTCCATAGCTTGTATTTTGATTGAAGGAATGTGGTTAAAAACCACATAACAAAGGAATTACTTAACTTTTTCTTTATAAGCTTATTTTCTTTTATTATATAAGTTATACCTGTTTTTTTAACATTATTGTTTACAAATTTGTTTTATAAGCAGGAAATGAATTATCTCTTTGTCCCAAAGGGAAGATAAATACGATGAAGAAAGGTTCATAAAAAAGGAAATGGTGTCATAACTGACTTAATGGGACCACAAATTAAATGTTAAAGTTAAGAGAACTAAAGAGTCCTTAGTTCCTCATTCTATACCCCAACTGTGCCTTTTACCACAACTAAAGCCTTAAAGTCACATCCTGTATAACTCAATGGGAGTTGTATTTACTGAATTATTTCCTTGAGGGTAGGTGTTTGTCATAGTTTAGTATACACCCCAGGAAAGTATAATTTTACTGAGTGTATTTATGAAGATTTGATAGGCTATAAATTAAAACATATTAATTTACTTTTTTGTACAAACATTATAACTATAATAATGGAAATAAAGATGGCATCTATAATTCTACCACCTTAACTAGTAAGTCCCTGTTACTCCTTTCCAGTGATCAACAAGAACTACATTTGAAATATCTGAAATTTTGACTTCTATTTTTGGGGGAGTTTATTAAGGTTAAACTTCGTTCATTTGGAGATTTATTTTTGAAGCACAGGTCAACTCCTGGCTACTCCCAGAGAATATTCCCAGAAAATATACTCATCAAGTACAGAAGAAGGAGGAGTACCTTCTGAGGTTGGCCATCTCATCAGGAAGAATTTCTGTGGGTTCCTTTGATACAGAACAATCCTAGATGTCATTGACTAAACAGGATTTAGACATTTTATAACACCTGAACTGTGGAAGACATGTTTCAGGGTTTTTTTTTTTTGGACTGGGTCTAGACTAGACTTTCTAACCTCTATAAACCATTGGGACTGGTTCATAAACGAATTATATTTTTATTAGGGAGAAAATGGCACAAAAAAAGTAGAGTACCTCTTAAACAAAAGCATTTCTCTTACTGAAATTTATTCCCTGTTGATTGTATCATCAGTTGGGCTTTTCATTTAAATAAACAATTAAATTTTATTGATTGCCCACAAACCCTGAAATTCAGATTTCATTCCACTAAGAATGTAAATTCCTTAAAGATTCATTCATTTATTCATTGGTTCATTTATTCACAGAAAGTCAGTTACTACAATAGTCTGATTTAGGAGTCCTAGACAATTTTTAAAAGCTGGTTTTGTAAGTATATTTGGGTTACTATTTCATAGATTAACTACATAACCTTGATTCACCTGCCTAATGAGTAGACAGCTGGGCCAGGGAAGTGGAATACAGATTATTTACTGCCATATAACCAATGCTTTCAATAAATATGATAGTCATTTTTTAAAATTAGGCTTACATAAAGTATAGTCTTCCAGAAGACATTAGGTAATCTAGAAAATAATTAAGCTAAAAAATACTATACTTAAGTGTAATTTATTTTAAAAATCCCATCTCTAAATTCCTATTGGCAATTGAAAACACTATCAAGTGTAATGTAGTTTATAGAGTGGTAGGTAAATCAAACTTGTGCTTTTCTTCTGGAAGTAAACTTTATGCAAGTTATAACATATTGGAGCTTCTTTTAGCCAAGGTTTCAGGCTAAAGCCAAAGCTGATAACAAAACTTTTCCTAATCTGATATAAAAAAATTTGCCATTTGTGAATTCATGAGTTGGAGGTTATTAGATTATTTTGGGATGAAGTTATTTCTGTCCATTAGTCTGCTGCTTAAGTAGCATGTGAGGGGAAGTTCTGTTGCCTGTTGTAGCGTCAGGTATGATAATTAATTTATAAGGTGAGTATATCATTTGTATTTTAGTATGTAAAATTTAAGTTACTTTATGCGTTGAGTCAGTTTAATACTGATGGCTCTAACTCCATTGCTGAGTCATACCCAAAAGAAAGGAAATCAGTATATTAAAGAGATAGCTACACTTTTGTGTTTGTTGCAACTCTGTTCACAATACCAAGATTTGGAGGCAACCTAAGTGTCCATCAACAGATGAATAGATAAAGCAAATGTGGTACTTATATACGGTGGAGTACTATTCAGCCATAAAAAGGAATGAAATTCAATCATTTGCAACAACATGGATGGAACGGTAGTTCATTCATTATGTTGAGTGAAATGAGTCAGGCACAGAGAGACAAACATTGAGTGTTCTCACTTATTTGTGGGATCTAAAAATCAAAACAATGGAACCCATGGAGTTAGAGAGAAGAAGGATGGTAACAAGATGCTGGGAAAGGTAATGGGGGTTGTGAGGGGGGTGGGGTGGTTAATGGGTACCAAAAATAGAATGAATGAATGAATAAGTCCTAGCATTTGATAATACAACAGGGTGAGAGTATAATTGGATTGTTCATAACACAAAGGAAAAATGCTTGAGGGGATGGATACCCCATTTTCCATGATGTAATTATTTTATATTGCATACCTGTATCAAAATATTTCGTGTATCCCATAAATATATCTACTGTGTACCCACAAAAATTAAAAATAAAAATTTTTAAAAAGCTCTAGGTGATTACAATGTGCAGCCAAGCCCCAAGACTGCTGCTTTAAACCAACATCATTTATTGAACTAGTTGCAAATAAATGTAAAAACATTTGCTGCCAATAAATAAATACATACTGATGACTGTTGATGGTGGGAAATGATAAATCATGACTTTTCTGCTATTCCTTTATATTAAAATGAAGTATATTTATTTTATCTTATGTATTTCAATAGCACTGTACATGGAATTTCTAAAACTCTGTATTTTCTCAGCAAGATCCTAATTAGTTAAAAGTATAGTATGTCAGTTGCTCACAGTAGATTTTCAAAGGTCAATATTAACTCAGTCAGCATTTCAACATCAGACTATACTCTATTTTGAAAGGTCCATTGAAAAGAGAAGAAATGAAATGACACCTCATATGACTTTTTTCATTCTTTTAACAATCTCTGTTTTTATAAGGCATAATAATTAAAGTTTATCAGCCTTTTTTTTTTTTTTTTCATCTTTCAGGAACACCAGTGTATTCAGTAGCGTGGGGCCCTGATTCAGAAAAAGTTCTTTATACAGCAGGCAAGCAACTAATCATTAAACCTCTTCAACCAAATGCTAAAGTTTTACAGGTACTTTTCAGTCATATGTAAATTGTTATCAGGGTCTGCCTGACTGCCAAACTAGAGGGCACTTGCTTAGGAGTCTCTTTCTTCAGGGTGGTCTTTTTACAGTCTGGTCTTTAAGTACATGGTTTAATCAGCCTTTATTACAGAACAAGGAATATCTTTATATTTCCAACAAGGTTTGTTTTCCCCATATTCCAACTCATTTTGATAATGATACAGCATAGTTTGCTAATAAGAACACAGGCTTTGGAGTTAGCCACTTGAGTTCAAATATTCACTTACTTACCTATACACGACCTTAGGCAAGTTATAAAATATTGTTGAATGTCAGCCTTCTTATCTCTTAGTCAGTGACACTAATATCAGCTGAACAGGATTGCTGTGAGGATTAAATGAGTTAAATTACAAAGCACAAAGGACAATTCCAGGCATACAGTAAGCACTCAATATAGAGTACCTGTTATTATCTGTATTATTATGCTATTATAAGTTGCTATGCCATCTCTACCTTTTAGTCAACCAAGGAGACCAGGAAAACATTGTAGAATGACTAGGTCTTGAGTAAGAGATTTGTTGGCAGACATTGACAGGCTACAGTGGCATAGATGTGTTTTAACAGTTGAGTAGATGTAGATTTTAGGGAATAAGGACATAGAGATGACTTCGAGGTTCCATATTAATAACATCTGTATAGATTATGCTATCTGTATTTTACACAGCCAACATGCATTTACATTTTTACAGTGTGCAGAATACTCTGCTAGAAACTATAGGGACATGCAAGAATAGAACATACAAGCCCCTGTCCTTAGGCACCTAAGGTAAAAAATATGGGCAAAGGGAAGAAGCTGGGAAAGAGGACTAGATCTGATGGCTCTTAGTCAAAGTCCTTCCATGCCAATTACCTACGCTGAAAATCTGCTATGAAATTTATACAGCAAAAACAGGCAAGTTGAATATTTTAGTTTATACCTTTAGTTTATAGTTATGTGAATTTGGTTTTCTTTTCTTTTTTTTTTTTAATTATACTTTAAGTTCTAGGGTACATGGGCACAATGTGCAGGTTTGTTACATAGGTATACATGTGCCATGTTGGTTTGCTGCATCCATTAACTCATCATTTACATTAGGTATTTCTCCTAATGCTATCCCTTCCCCATCCCCCCACCTTACTACAGGCCCTGGTGTGTGATGTTCCTTGTCCTGTGTCCACGTGTTCTCATTGTTCAAATCCCACCTATGAGTGAGAACATGCGGTGTTTGGTTTTCCGTCCTTGTGATAGTTTGCTGAGAATGATGGTTTCCAGCTTCATCCGTGTCACTGCAAATGACATGAACTCATCCTTTTTTATGGCTGCATAATAATCCATGGTGTATATGTACCACATTTTCTTAATCCAGTCCATCATTGATGGACATTTGGATTGGTTCCAAGTCTTTGCTATTGTGAATAGCACTGCAGTAAACATACATGTGCATGTGTCTTTATAGTAGCATGATTTATAATCCTTTGGGTGTATATCCAGTAATGGGATCACTGGGTCAAATGGTATTTCTAGTTCTAGATCCTTGAAGAATCGCCACACTGTCTTCCACAATGGTTGAACTAGTTTGCAGTCCCACCAACAGTGTAAAAGCATTTCTATGTCTCCATATCCTCTCTAGCATCTGTTGTTTCCTGACTTTTTAATGATCACCATTCTAACTGTGTGTGAGATGGTATCTCATTTGGTTTTGATTTGCATTTCTCCGATGACCAGTGATGATGAGCATTTTTTCATGTGTCTGTTGGCTGCATAAATATCTTCTTTTGAGAAGTGTCTGTTCATATACTTTGCCCACTTTTTGATGGGGTAGTTTGTTCTTTTCTTATAAATTTGTTTAAGTTCTTTGTAGATTCTGGATGTTAGCCCTTTGTCAGATGCGTAGATTGATTCTGTAGGTTGCCTGTTCACTCTGATGGTAGTTTCTTTTTGCTCTGCAGAAGCTCTTTAGTTTAATTAGATCCCATTTGTCAATTTTGGCTTTTGTTGCCATTGCTTTCGGTGTATTAGTCATGAAGTCCTTGCCCATGCCTATGTCCTGAATGGTATTGCCTAGATTTTCTTCTAGGATTTTTATGGTTTTAGGTCTAACATTTAAGTCTTTAATCCATCTTGAATTAAGTTTTGTAAAAGGTGTAAGGAAGGGATCCAGTTTCAGCTTTCTACGTATGGCTAGCCAGTTTCCCCAGCACCATTTATTAAATAGGGAATCCTTTCCCCATTGCTTGTTTTTGTCAGGTTTGTCAAAGATCAGATGGTTGTAAATGTGTGGTGTTATTTCTGAGGGCTCTGTTCTGTTCCATTGGTCTATATCTCTGTTTTGATCCAGTACCAGACTGTTTT